CAGCTATCACCATTCAAAATTCCAGAAGTCACACTTTGCCAAAACTCCAGGTTACTAAAGATGAAATTGATACTATCTTTCCGAAGACAGAAATCCTAGAGAAAATGGACAAACACACCAAAAATTAAAAAAAAATTTTTTTTAAGCCTGCTTCTTTTATGCCTGTTGCCTCTGTGTAGTTGTTCAGGCTTATTTAACATTTAAATGCCGTTAAAAAAAAAAAAAGGACAAATCAGGTTTCATAAACTGATCTGTGTGGCTTATAAAATGATAACCCTTCAGTCTACAATCAGCTTGGATTCTGATCTTAAACTCTGCCACTCTAAATTATTATAATCTAGGCCAGGTGTGGCGGCTCATGCCTGTAATCCCAAGACTTTGAGAGGCTGAGATGGGCGGATCACAAGGTCAGGAGTTCGAGACCAGCCTGACCAACATGGTGAAACCCCGTCTCCACTAAAAATACAAAAATTAGCTGGGCTTGGTGATGCACACCTATAATCCCAGCTACTCCGGAGGCTGAGGCAGGAGAATTGCTTGAATCCAGGAGGCAGAGTTTGCAGTGAGCTGAGATTACACCACTGCATTTCAGCCTGGGCAACAGAACAAGACTCCGTCTCCAAATAAATAAATACAAAATAAAATAAACATGTTATTTTAATTGTTAACACGTAAGGAAAGGGACAGAACCTTACCCTTAACTTTCTCTGGGCTCTCTTGTTTGCTTGAAGTAAGACTCTATTTAATACCTTCAGAATTTGCTTTTGCCTTGAAGCAATAGACAAGTATGTGCTGCTCTGTTCTATATATGGGAACAGTGAGTACAGATAGAAGATTGAAGATTTCCTTTGAAGCTCAGTGTTGCCAGTGCAAAGCCTCTCCCAAACACTGGAGCAGCAGGGACGTGCAGCGTGACAGCTCCCAGCTTCTAAAAGCTAACATATTAATTCTAGCCGGTGTTGGACTGAAGGTCAGAAATCGGATTTTGACCTTAGCACTAATGGGAATCCTGTGGGAATCCTGAGAGTGGCTGAATAAGTGCTGTAATATCACTAATAATTAATAATGATGATAATATCCCAGGTTTCTTGTTTTAGTGCTTTTTAGCCCCCAAAGGCTTCAATCACTTTGCAGACCAATTGTTTCACCCACGTTGACCTGTAACCGACTCAGCCATGGAGTATTGCCCTGTTGTCAAGAACACAGCCACATTTAGCTTGTTTAAGCATGAACTGACGAAAGATACCCACTGAAAATTAAAGTGTAAATTTTAAGTAGGCAGGTTATAATTATCCACTTGAAATCAAGCCAAGAAATGAAACTTAAAACCCTTTCTTTTGTGAAAAGCACCCAGGCAACTTTCTGGACTGTAAACAGATGTCAGCTTTTCATCCCGTCTAACTCAGGGTTTCTGATTCTCAGTACTAAGGACATCTTGGGCTGAGTGATTTTACACTGTGCTGGTGGTGGTGGGATTGGCGGGGTGCTGTCCTGTGCATGACAGGATGTTTACAGCATCTCTGGCCTCTACCCACTAGATGCCAGTAACATACACACATATATACCCTCTCCCAGTGTGACAACTGAAAATGTCTCCTGACATTGCCAAATGTCTCCTGGGAGACAAAGTCACCCCCAGTCGAAAACTGCTGTTCTAATTCCATATGTTTTCAAGGCAGTGGTATAGATGTTAGAAGCAGCTGCCTCACCAGACCCTTTATTTTGCTAAGTTGCTTGAAAGATTCCCGGAGAAAAAGAGACATTTATCTGCCAACAGCCTTGGGGAGTCAGAGAAACTATGGTTTACGGCTGAAATTAGTTCCTCCTTCACCAAAACAAACAAACAAAAAAAATCAAAGCAATAACACAACCCTGGACTATCAAACACCACCAGTTCTCTAACAGTCTCTCTTCCTCGCATATCACTTCCCGCAAAGTGGCTGCTTGAGATTATAACAGAATAGCATAGTGACAGCTTCAGGATCCCGGATGCCCACCTCTCAGACTTCATGCGGTCAGAGTTCCCCGACCTTCTGGAATCTACAGCCTCTGTCAAACAGCAGATAGGTGGCTTGGACTGAAATGCCTAGAGGCACCGTGATGATTCCAGTTACCACCAAATCTGACCATGATCTTTTACCAGCAGCTTCTCACTCACCCCCATTACACCCCTAAACCCTCCAGGAACCTCAGCTCCAGGAGCTCCCCTCGCCGCCTGGCCCAGGCTGGTACCTCCGGACACCTTCTACTCCCAAGGGAAGTGGCTTGTGAACATCTTCCACCACCGCTCATTATAAGAAACAAATTCTATGTCATGAGCCCCTGTCATTCACACTTACAAAAATACATTTTTTATTTTGAACTAATTTTAGACTTGCCGAAAAGTTGCAACAATAGTGCAAAAAATTTTTATATATCCCTCATCCAGCTTCCCCTACTATTAACAACTTTTATAACCATAGTACAATTGTCATAATCAGGAAATCAATGTCGGTATGATACTATCAGCCAAACTGAAGACACCAGCTTTCCACTGATGTCCCTTTTCAGTTCCAGGGTCCTATTCAGGACCCTGCACATTGCATTCAGCTGTCATGTCTATTTAGTCTCCTGTAGTCTGTGACTTTTTCCTGTCTTTCCTTGACTTTCATGACCTTGACACTTTTTTTTTTTTTTTGAGACAGTCTCACTCTGTCATCTAGGTTGGAGTGCAATGGCATGATCTCAGCTCACTGCAACCTCCACCTCAAGGTTTAAAACGGTTCTCCTGCCTCAGGCTCCCAAGTAGTTGGGATTACAGGTGCGTGCCACCACACCTGGCTAATTTTTTGTATTTGTAGCAGAGACAGGGTTTCACCATGTTAGCCAGGATGATCTCGATCTCCTGACCTCATGGTTTGCCCGCCTTGGCCTCCCACAGTCTGGGATTATAGGTGTGAGCCACCGCGCTCGGGCAACCTTGACACTTTTGAAGCCCTGTTTTGTTACATGTCCCTCCATTTTGGTTTGTATGATGTTTTTTTCATGATTGAACTGAGGTTATGCCTTTTTTTTATTAAGAATGTCACAGAGATTATATTGTGCCACCCCAAAATATATTTTTAAACAGAAGTTTCAGGAAACTACCTTTGCTACTTGAGATACATTATGACATTTTCTTTTGCTGTTGTTTTTATTTTGTTTTTTTGAGACAAGCTCTCGCTCCATCGCCCAGGCTGGAGTGCAGTGGTGCAATCTTGGCTCATTGCAACCTCTGCCTCTCAGGTTCAAGTGATTCTCCTACCTTAGCCACCTGAGTAGCTGGGACTACAGGCGTGCACCACCAAGTCTGGCTAATTTTTGTAATTTTAGTAGAGATGAGGTTTCACCATGTTGGCCAGGCTCATCTCCAACTCCTGACCTCAAGCAATCCGCCAACCTCGGCCTCCCAAAGTGCTGGGATTATAGGCATGAGCCACTGCACCAGGCCTTATATATATACATGTATAAAAAATTGAGACAGTCTCATTATATTGCCCAGGCTGCTATCACTCAGCCTCCCAAAGTGCTGGGATTACAGGCATGAGCCACTGTGCCCAGCCCACTCTGACATTTTGCATTATCCTTTGAAGTGCTGGTTTCACAACCATATTGGTTCAGAGCCCTCTAATGGTTTGGAAAACCCTGCCCAAGGCCAGCTCTCTCCAGTAGTTCTTTCTGTAATCTCTCTTCTCTGTGCCTAAATGACTCTGCACTGTCTTCGTTTTCTTCCCTCTCTGACCAGCAATTCCCTGTATGTTTCTGGAATTTTTGTCCTCCCCTAGTCTGTCTGATCTTCTCTCACCACACTTACTTCCTCAGTGAACTGAGCCATCCTTTAAACTTTCCTCTCGCCCAGGTGACCCCATTCTGAAGGCACGACCTCCAGACCAGTTCGCTTGTAAAGCCCAGAAGACTTTACTTCTCCAGCCTTTATGGAGCTCTTTCTTCTAGTACTAGGTGGCAATGAAAGTCTGTGATAATGATTATGGAGTTAGTCCTGCCTTTCCAACTAAACTGGGCTCCCAGAGTCCCAGCTCATAGTGAGTTGTCCTTATGCAGCGTTCTTGCTACATTTCTTTTCTCTCTTTCTCTTTTTCCTTTCTTCTTTCTTTCCTTCTTTTCCTTTCTTACTTCTCTCTCCCCCCTGTTCTCATCTGACGCTTGCTTCTCTCACTGTGACTGCTAATATAGTTGGTCACTTTCTTTTTTTTTTTTTTTTTTTGAGACGGAGTTTCACTCTTTTTACCCAGGCTGGAGTGCAATGGCGCGATCTCGGCTCACCTCAACCTCTGCCTCCTGGGTTCAGGCAATTCTCCTGCCTCAGCCTCCTGAGTAGCTGGGATTACAGGCACGCGCCACCATGCCCAGCTAATTTTTTGTATTTCTAGTAGAGACGGGGTTTCACCATGTTGACCAGGATGGTCTCGATCTCTTGACCTCGTGATCCACCCGCCTCGGCCTCCCAAAGTGCTGGGATTACAGGCTTGAGCCACCGCGCCCGGCCAGTTGGTCACTTTCATGTCCACACATTCTCTCATATACTCACAAGCACACACGCGCGCACAGACGCACACACAGGCGTAAGCACTAGTATAGTCTTTGTCTAAAGCAGGGGATAGGGAAATGTTCACCAGAGAACAATCTGGCCACCCTAAGGGAACTTAAAAGAAATCGAATGAGGCTTTGCTTTCTGTCTTTTAATGCCCGCGGACTGCAGAGCAACGCTCTAGCGATATCTTGGCTCAGCAGCTCCGGGAGCGGTCAGCGTTGGGGGTCAGGCTGGCGGGACATTTGGGCTCCCCCATACGTGGACCTGTGTTTGTTGCAAGATGGTTGGAAGAGCGTGTAAAGAAGACATCATGTTATGTCCTTGGAAGTTGAATGAAGAAGGCTCGCAAAGGAGAAGTGCGCGCAGTCCCGGCGCGGCCCGCTCTGCCGGGTTCTCCGCGCTGGCCTCGGCCTGGCCTGCTGGTCGGGAGGGCTCGCGGGCCCCGCATTGCCGCGTGCCACCGGCAGGTGTCTCTTTCCTGGCTTGGAACCCTATTGTGAGTTCACCAAATGGAGGCGCGAGGAGGAGGGGACGGGCAGGGGAGGTGTGGCGGGAGCCGGAGCGGGCACCACCCCCTGCCCGCCCGCGCCCAGAGCGCACCGCAGCCGGGCCGCGAGGCTGCCGGTCCTCACCTTTGAAACGCCGGCAGCTGCGCGCGCTGCGGCTAGCCGCGGAGAAAGCCACCTCGTCATGTGGGGAGGAAATGCCTTGCCGGCCTCCAAACCTACTGGCTCCAGTTGCTGGGGTTTTATGGCCAGGAGGGTCGGGTCACCTTTCAAACCCAAGATCAAAGGGCAGTGCAGGACCCATCACCCTGGGAAGTTTTCTCCCCTTTCCCGTCTTTCTCCTTGTCACCGTCTCAGAAAGGGTAGCGAAAGGGGCCTGCCACCCTACTGGCTTTCCCTTTTAGGGAAATTCCGTTTCCTAACTTGTCCTGTTTTGAAAGAGGCCCATTTTATTGGGTGACGACGGCAGCCTGCTAGGCAGAAGTCAGGCCAAGAGCAGTCACTTTTATTCTTTTATTCAACAAATGTCTACTGATCATCTCCCGGGTGCTAGGCACTGTAGAGGGGGTTCAGTAGTGAGCAAAGATCCCGCCTTGGCTACTCACATTACTGAAGAAATGAGTTACCAGGCGACAAGGTGACTTCTGGTGCCCAGTACTTGAAAATTCAAGACACCGCAGGGGGAAATCCTCTCTCATACCAAGCGTGCACACTTTGCCTCTGGTTAGGAGTAATGCCAGCTTTGCATTTCTTTGGACCTTTTGCTTCATTCAATAGTAACATTTGAAAAATCTTTACTGGGCGCTGACTCTGGGACTGGAGCTATGCTAGATGCAGGGAATACCGTGGCGGACAAAATTCCTTCCTGTCCTTAAGGAGCTTGGGGCCCAGTACAGATAGTGAGCCCGTAAATGCATAAACAAGCAGACCCTAGTCTGTTACGTGTCTGGATCCCACTGATTGTGGGGCATAAGAAGAACCAGGATACAGGCTCTGCGACTAGCACTGGGGTATGCGGTCAGACCCAAAGCCCTGTGATACAGAGTCACATAGGAAAGTCACTGTCTGGTGCTCATGACCAGGGAAGAACACCAGTTGTCCTCTTTCTTGGGAATAATAGAGGCATCCCAAATCATGATCTTGGGTCTGCTCTGCCTTCACTGATCCTGTTTCACTACAAATTTGTTTTCTGGGAAGTTGCTAGGAACTGGTGTCAAACATCCTCATACTTCCCTTCTCTTCTCATGAAACTCTTCTAGAATCTGGCTGATATCTCTTTGTCTACCTTTATGTAGCTCAGTTTTTGTTGAGTTTTTGTTGTTCTTGTTGTTTGCTTGTTTTTAATGTGCTGACATTATGTTTGGGCTTTTTTTCTTTTTTTTTTTTTTTTGCTTGCATTTTGAAATAAGTTTTTAAAATTCAGAATTCCAGGAAAGACTTTATTTTCTCACTTAGTAGGTTAACAGAACACTAGCCATGTGGTTCTAACCTCATGGTTTTTAGGCAGCAAAAAATCTCATCACATAGCCAGAGAAATGATCACAAATTCCCAGGACACACTTTTGGGCAGTATCATAGCTCCTGGCCTGCTCCAGGACGGTGGGAGTGAGTCAGCGCTGGGGATCTGAGCTGGAAGCTGCCTGGAGTCCTTCTGCACTGATATTTTGTCTCTTTCCTGTAAGTCAAAAACACACAGTCCTCTACAAACGTTGTTATGTTTCTTTGTTTGTCTATTTTGCTTTATAAAAACACCAGACCCCTGTTTAGTTTCCTCTGAGAGCTGTGTTAGTATTAAACATTCACTGCCATCAAAAAAAAAAAAAAAGAAAGAAAGAAAGAAAGAAAACTTTTGCCTCGTTGAAGAAGCAGGACTGAATCTTGTTTACTCTTGTCTGTCCGTCCATACCAGGGTACGACTGACTAGATATCTAAGTTACCTTAGTAGTTACAATGGGAGAATTCATTTCCTTTCTCAGCTGATGAGTGCTAAAATCATTCTCCTTGGAACAGATGCAATGTCTTATCTAGAAAGATACCCAGAAAGCAACATTTATGACTATTTATAAGGGTGGTGAGCACATTGGTTATGTAGATAAAAGAAAAGTTACATACATCCTGATCATTCTTAAGATGCCTTCGGAGTGATACATACTTCCCATGAAACCAAAATCTTTCTCTTCTAAATCTCACATAGTCCAAACTGTACTTCAGAAAATGGGCATAATTTCTATAAATTGAATCCACGGTCACATTTAAAACATTGAAGGTATGTTCACATAGGAAAATTACTTCAGTAGATCAAATTTTAAAAATACTTTTTAATAAGAAGGAGGTGGCCTGACCTGTGACAATCTCATAAAATTTCCGAATAAGGAAAAATCTTAAGTATCATCGAATTCAAAATCCAAACAGTACCCCTGACAAGTGGTTTTCTGAAATCTGTGGAAATACAACCAGTGGCAGGGACGACCCCAGTGACCCACCCTTTCCAACTCTTGGAAATGTTTTTTTCACAGAGCCTGAGATTCTCGAATCTTTTTTTCCTTCAGCACCTACTCATCATTCTATCCTGGCCATGTGGGAAAAACCTCTTCCACAAAGTAGCTCCTTCACGTGTTTGAATGCTTTTAGCTTTCCTTTTGTAGGTTTGCAGTATGGCCTCGTTTTATTCCTTGAATCCATCAAATATTGCTTATGGTGGCTGGATGCAGTGGCTCATGCCTGTAATCTCGGCACTTAGGAAGGCCGAGGCAGGTGGATCATTTGAGGTCAGGAGTTCGAGACCAGCTTGGCCAACACGATGAAACCCACCCTCTACTAAAAATACAAAAATTAGCTGAACTTGGTGGTGCATGCCTGTAATCCCAGCTACTCGGGAGGCTACGGCAGGAGAATCGCTTGAACCCAGGAGGCAAAGGTTACAGTGAGCCAGGGTCGCACAACTGCACTCCAGCCTGGGCGACAGAGCAAGACACTGTCTGAAAAAAAAAAATTGCTTATTGAGGTCCGGGCGCCATGGCTCATGCCGGTAATCTGTAATCCTAGCACTTTGGGAAGCTGAGGCAGGCAAATTGCTTGAGCTCAGGAGTTCAAGACTAGCCTGGGTGACATAGTGAAACGCTGTCTCTACAAAAAGTACCAAAAAATTAGCCGGGAGTGGTGGCAGATGCCTGTAGTCCCAGCTACTTGAGGGTCTGAGGTGGGAGAAACGCTGGAACCCAGGAGGTCGAGGCTGCAGTGAGGCAAGATGGCGCCACTGCACTCCAACCTGGGTGACAGAGACCCTATTCCAAAAAAAATTGCTTATCGTGTACCGAGGATGGCTGAAGGATGGAAGAGGAAAACAAAGCCACAGCCCTCCTGGAATGTATATTCTATTGAGGAAGACAGAAAAGAAACAGTTAAATAAGTACATTTATAATGTAATGTCAGGTAGTGATAAATACATAAAAGGAAAGGCAAGGTAAAGAGACAGGGAATGATAGTGTTTCCTTAGGTTGGGAGGTAAGAGAGGTCCTATTGAGGACATAACATTTGGACAAGGACCTGACTTTCAAAAAAAATCTCTGAACTGAGGGGATAAGCCAGTGTCAGTATCTAGGGAGAAAAACAAAGACCCTGCAATGATAAATGTCTGATGTCTGGGGAGCATCAACGAGGCCAGCACGGAAACAGTGAGGGAAAGAAGTAGGAAGGGAGCTCTGAGGGGTAGCCAGTAGTGCCACACTTTGAAAGCAGGGACATGACATGATTTCAAGACCCTTTCCATTTTCACTGCTATGTTCTCTTTATATTTTAGCTGGTCAAAGTCTCTGTAAAAGATAGTCACCCAGAATTGCCTCCAGTACTCCAAGTGGGGTCTAACTGGACAGAGTAAAGCAGGAACATCCCCTTCTTTATTCTGGACATTATATTTCTATTAATATAATCTGAAGCCTCTCGTCACATTTTAGAAAGTCGTTTATTGAGTTTGCTGTTTTCTTTCGTATATTCCACTTTTTTTTGCACTTTTTTTTTTTAGAGTCTCGCTCTGTCACCCAGGCTGGACTTCAGTGGTGCTGTCTCTGCTCACTGCAACCTCCACCCCCCAGATTCAAGCGATTCTCCTGCCTCAGCCTACTGAATAGCTGGGATTACAGGTGCCCGCCACCACTAATTTTTGTATTTTTAGTAGAGACAGGGTTTCACCATGTTGATCAGGCTGGTCTCGAACTCCTGACCTCATGATCTGCCTGCCTCGGCCTCCCAAAGTGCTGGGATTACAGACGTGAGCCACTGTGCCCAGCCACATACTACACCCTTAAACAATACTTTCTATGCAGGGTTCTTCCACAGCCTCACCCTCTTGTCCCCTGGCCTAAGACCTATTGACATCAAGAAGCTTCAGGAAACCTCATCCTATAAATCAAGTGGTGGCTTACTCATAGAAAAGTCTTTAAAGATACTTTTTTTTTTAAAGGTGGGGCCTCACTATGTTACCCAGGCTGGACTCAAACTCCTGGACTGAAGCAATCCTCCCGCCTCAGCCTCCCAAATAGCTTGGACTATAGATATGCGACACTGGGCCTGGTTCAGATACGTTAATGTATTTGCCTCATTCTGATGCCATTTAAATATGCCATGTTCCAAACATCATAAACTTCTTTAGGTAGCTTTTAAGGGGCCTGAATGTGGAATGCTATCCTATTAAATTCTATCTCATTAAATTTGACACGTTTCTCCAGTCTTTTAAAATGTTTTTGGCCTCTGGTTCTAGCATCTTACTGTATAAACTATTCCTCTTATCTGTGTGTCAACAATAGATTTCACCAGCATGTGACTTATAACAATATTGTATTGAGTGAGGCTGAAGATAGAGCCCCACGATGAGCCTGTAAAGAACCATGTCAAAGTTGAAATGGATGTATTACCAAGACTTTTGGGAAATGGTTGTTCAACCAGGTAACTGCAAATCAATCTAATTGTACCATGATTTACCCTACATCTCCCCATTAGCTAATCAACAAGAACACTACGAAAGATTTTTGTCTAATGTCTTACTGAAATTTATAAGCACTGCCTTGACCTTCTGCTCAACCATGCTGTCAAAGAAATTAAGTTCCACTTAAACTTTGAAGTTTATATGTTCTTTGGCACTGCCCTTTTACCAGCTCTAGACTTTTCCTCCCATTCTGGGGGTTTGTCTAACAGCAGACACCAGCCACACCTGGAAGCGTGCTTCTTCCTTTTCTACTGCAACTGTGCAATACACTTTTGTTTTCCTAAATGCATTGTACATATAACCGAAAAACTGAGTCAACTGGGATCATCTGAATCATGTTTTAAATACACAATGAACTGCTCAATCATTCCATCAATCAAGTTATTGATCAACCCCTCCATAAGTCTTACATTTCCAGAATGAAAAATCTTTTTGTAATACAAATGTAATACTGTGTGTGTGTGTGTGTGTGTGTGTGTGTGTGTGTGTGTGTGTGTGATGGAGCTTCACTCTTGTTGCCAGGCTGGAGTGCAATGGTGCGACCTCGGCTCACTGCAACCTCCGCCTCCCAGGTTTAAGCGATTCTCCTGTCTCAGCCTCCTGAGTAGCTGGGATTATAGACATGTGCCACCACGCCCGGCTAATTTTGTATTTTTAGTAGAGATGAGGTTTCTTCATGTTGGTCAGGCTGGTCTCTAACTCCAGACCTCAGGTGATCCATTAGCCTCAGCCTCCCAAAGTGCTGGGCTTACAGGTGTGAGCCACCATGCCCAGCACAAATATAATACTTTCCAACATGGATTTTTGTTTACCTTGGCTGAGTTTTCTCAAAACATACCATACCTTTAAACACAATAACAGACTAGGGCTGCTGTAAGTTAAATCACCAGTAAATCCAATACCTGGCACATGATATTCTCCTGCCTAGAAATTTCTTAAGTCTTCAGACTCAACGAAATAAATAGCAGGTTTAAAAAAAAAAAAAAAAAAAAATTGGTAGTTTATGTGAAGACAAATAAAAGCGGTTTCCATCTGGATTAATTTTACCTTGACCCTATATTGTTTTTAAGTCATACTGTCGTTCCTTTGCAAGCTAGATCCTAACTTTCATGAAGTCAAGGCCCATGTGTGTCTTGCCCTTCACTCTGTTCCCAGAGTCAAGCATGTTACCTGGCATAGGTAGAACAGGTGTTCAATAACTATGTCTTGAGCAGATAGAATGAGGAATAAATGAATGTATGTGTACAAAAGTGCTACTTCATCTATTCCTAAAAAAAAATCTCAGTTTTGTAGGGGATCAAGTGTAGATGTGACCAATGTCTTCTGGAAAAAAAATCTGTAGGGACAAAATCAGCATCTCAGATGCATGATATGGTTTGGCTCTGTGTCCCCACCCAAGTCTCATCTCAAATTGCAATCCCCACGTGTCGGGGGGTGGGAGGTGATTGGATCGCAGGGCCAGTTTCCTTCATGCTGTTCTCGTGATAGTGATTTCTCATGAGATCTGATGGTTTAAAAGTGTGGCATGTATCCCCCAACCCCCTGCCTTGCTCTGTCTCTCTCCTGCCACCATGTAAGACATGCCTTGCTTCCTCTTCCACCATGATTGCAAGTTTCCTGAGGCCTCCCCAGCCATGCAGAACAGCCAGTCAATTAAACCTCTTTTCCTTAAAAATTACGCAGTCTCAGGTAGTTTTATTAATATATAGCATTGTGAGAATGAACTGATATGGATGATTAAATAATAGTAATAATCTTTTTAAAAATAAATTTCAACCTTTATTTTACATTCAGGGTGTACATATGCAGATTTGTTACATGGGTATATTGTGTGACACTGAGGTTGGGGTACAAATGATCCCATCACCGAGGTTGTGAGCATGGTACCTAATACGTAGTTTTTTAGCCCTTGACTCTCTCCCTTTCTCCTCCCTCTAGTAGTCTCCAGTGTCTATTGTTTTCGTCTTTATGTCCACGTGTACTCAATGTTTAGCTCCCACTTATAAGTGAGAAAATGCAGTATTCGGTTTTCTGTTCCTGCATTATTCACTTGGGCTAACAGCCTCCAGCTGCATTCATGTTGCTGCAAATAACATAATTTCATTCATTTCTATGGCTGGGCTGTATTTCATGGTGTATGTGTACCACATTTTCTTTATCCAAGCCACCATTGATGGGCCCCTAAATTGACTGCATGTCTTTGCTATTGTGAAGAGTGCTGCAGTGAATATACCAGCACTTGTGTCTTTTTGGTGGAAAGATTAATTTTCTTTTGGATATATACCCAGTAATGGGACTGCTGGGTCAAATGGTAGTTCTAAGTTCTTTGAGGAGTCTCCAAACTGCTTTCCACAGTGGCTGGACTAATTTATGTTCCCATAAACAATAGATAAGCATTACATTTTCTCTACAGCCTCAGCAGCATCTGCTATTTTTTTTTTTGACTTTTTAATAATAGCCATTCTGACTAGGGTGAGATGGTAGCTCCTCGTGGTTTTAATTTGCATATCTCTAATTATTAGTGATGTTGAGTATGTTTTCATATTTGTTGGCTGCTTGTATGTCTTCTTTTGAGAAGTGTCTGTTCATGTTCTTTGCCCACTTTTTTTTTTGAGATGGAGTCTTGCTCTGTCCCCCAGACTGGAGTGCAGTGGCGCGATCTCAGCTCACTGCAACCTCCACCTCCGGGGTTCAAGCGATTCTCCTGCCTCAGCCTCTGGAGTAGCTGGGACTACAGGCGTGTGCCACCACACCTGGCTAATTTTTTGTATTTTTAGTAGAGACAGGCTTCATACCGCGGCCACCCAAAGTGCTGGGATTACAGTGGTGAGCCATTGTGCCCGGCCCCTTCGTCCACTTTTTAATGGGGTTATTTCTTACTCATTGAAGTGTTTAAATTCCTTATAGAGTCTGGATGTTAGCCCACTGTCAGATGCACAGTTTGTGAATATTTTCTCCCATTCTGTAGTTTGTTTATTCTGTTGATAGTTTCTTTTTCTGTGCAGAAGCTCTTTAAATACCACTAATATTCTTGAGCAGCAGTTCTCTAATGACCCCTCTATACTCTTAAAAATAGTTGAGAACCCCAAAGAGTTTTTGCTTATACAATATATATCCGTCAATGTTTACAGTATTAGAAACTAAATCAAAAATTATTTATTCATTTAAAATAACAACAAACCCATAATATATCAACATAATTAATATTTCATGAAAGACCTATTTTCCAAAACAAAAAAGTTAGTGAGGAGAGTGGCATTGTTTTACACTTTTAAATGTGCTGAATGTCTGGCTTAGTAGAGACAGCTAGATCCTCATGTCTGCTTCTGCATTCAGTCTGTGGTGATGCACATGGCATGTGCCTTCTGGAAAACTCCACTGTATACTCCTAAGAGAATGACAATGAGGCTGGGCGCAGTGGCTCACACCTGTAATCCTAGCACTTTGGGAGGCTGAGGTGGGTGGATCGCCTGAGGTCAGGAGTTCAAGACCAGCCTGGCCATCATGATGAAACCCCATCTTAAAAAAAAAAAAAAAAAAAAACAGAGAAAGAGAGAATGACAATGAAAGATGCAAACAGTGTCTTGGTGTTATTATGAAAATCGTTTTGATCTGTGGATCCTCTGAAAGGGTTTTGAGGACCAAAGAGTAGACACTAGTTTGGGCTTTGAATGCCAGAAAGTTCAGAACTACATTTAGCAATCACTTCAGGCCTGGCATGACAGTCCTTTGCAGCTTTGCTCAACTGTAATCTGTTTGCGACTTGCCCTTTACTTCTTTTTTTGGTGTTAACAGCTCTTGGCCATATTTTTTCTGTGTTTTTATTAGATGTTGCTTCAAATCCTTTGGAAAGCAGGATGGGTGTTTAACAAGGTAGGTAAGTGTGCACATGTACTTATATAGATACATTTCAACACAAGTTTAAAATTATACTTTGATTTCATTTTCAATATCCACTTAGCAAACATACCTCAAAAGAATGAAAATATATATGATAGTCAGTCACATAAAAGATTAAGACACTCCTGAGATCATCTGAATGAGCTTTTTACACAAAGTCCAGAGGATAGGGGTTACATTGCAAGAAATCTACTATATAAAAAGATACAGCTCTGGTTGGGTGTGGTGGCTCATGCCTGTAATCCCAGCACTTTGGGATGCCGAGGCAGGCAGATCATTTGAGGTCAGGAGTTCGAGACCAGCCTAGCCAACATGTTGAAACCCCATCTCTACTAAAAACACAAAAATTAGCCAGCCGTGGTGGTGGGCACCTGCAATCCCAGCTACTCAGGAGGCTAAGGCAGGAGAATCACTTAAAACTGGGAGGCAGAGGTTGCAGTGAGCCGAGATCATGCCACTGTACTCAAGCCTTACCAACAGAGTGAGACTCCGTCTCAAAAAAAAAAAAAAAAAAAAAAAAAAAGATAACAGTTCCATGATAGACAATTTATCATCCAGGAAGTTAGGCAAATAGTCAAAATCTCTACAGTTCTCTCTTGAGAACCGTTTCTCAAGCACCCTACTTAGACATTGCCATTTTTCTATATCAGTAACTAATTTGATTGAAGCCTATAACGCATATTTGAAATGTCTGCCCTCCACGCTCCTCTCTTCTTTCCTGGAGAACTGCCCTTCGGTCTTGCATGAGGTTGAGCGTCCCCAGATGTGCCTGTCTCAGAGCACCCTCTCCAGGGCACGCCTGATTGGATCAAGCTGTGCACCTGACCCAGGCTGGGACAACCAAATTCCCTCTCCCAGGAATTTAGTATTGGAATGAGGACAGCCACTCACCTTTGGCTAATCTCTTTAGGAGAGAAGATGCAGATGTGGTAGTTATTGAGGGATTATCCTCCACCCAGCTACTCACAGAGAAGAAAGTGGATTGCAGAGATGTGAAGCAGAGGAGAAGGCTGGAGAAGGTGGGCTGCCTAGGTTCCTAGCAGCTTCTCAGGTTACCTGGAGGCCAGTCTGCCCTTGAACTTCATGAGATACTGCTATACTCTAATATGTCCCCTAATGCTTAAGTCAGCTCAAGTTGATTACTTGGAACCAAAAGGACTTAGACAAAGACAAAGACAAAGCCATCTGTGAGGTTTTTTTTTCTTTATAACCAGGTCCCTTACAGCATCCTGGGGAGCACTGTAGGTCCTAAATACACAATATTTACTTTTCGAAGGCTTCCATTAGGCAAAAACATCTCCCCATCCAAGGCCAACTAGATTAGGAAATAGCATTTTCCCTCGGCTTTCTGTCCCCAGAGGGCAAATGCACAGATGACTGCAGTTAGCAATTGACTCTGTGGGTTAGTATTTACTGAGGGCACACACTCAGGGACTTGAATGACAGAAATCCCAGGTGCCAGGGAGGAGACTGGCAATTATGCCTCCAATCACCTGCCTGTTCTGCAGCCCTCTAAATCACCACTCCCCGCCACAGTGACCTTCAATGACTGGCAGGGTGACCCATTTTTAAAGGGCCAATTTTTAACAGCTGGAAACAATAAACGTCGTGGGAGGTGAAGACGCTGGAAGGCCTGCTTTCTCCCTTACTATCTTCAAAAGTCAAACAATGCTGGGTGTCATGGCAATAGCCACAGAAAGTCAGCACAGTTCCTGCCATGGAGCAGCTGTGTGATGGTGGCTTCCCAAATCCCCCTCCCTGGGCCGAGGTTCTTACAGCTGCAAAATGCGGCGGTAGAATAAGATGCTCTTTAATATCCCTTTCATCTTCAACTTTCTACAATCTTTGTAAGCTGCAAAGATTTACACAGGACTTCATCTTGATTTTACTACTTGTAGTTCATCTTCTTGTGACAGAGCCAGCAGCAGCTTGTGCATGTGAAAGTAAGTGGCTCTCTCTCTCTCTCTGAGATGATTTAAGAGGTGGTGAAAACCCAATGTACCTCCTTTAGAGTTCTGCCATAGCCAGGCCTGAAGCTCCCCTGCCCCAGAGCCAGACCTGGGATCCAGGTATCATTTACCTAGGTCAAAAGGCAAACACATACATCGTCCATTGTTTTCCCAGAGCATATTAGCCTGGACTTGCCTCTGGAGTCCCTAGGAATGACATTAGGCATGTGATCCAGCAGAGGCCAGGAAAGGTCTCTGGCACAGGGCGCTGTGGTGGCAGACAGGCCTGGACCATTGACCCAGTAGTGTGTGCCGGGTAGCCTGTGGGTGGCAGGAAGCTCCCAGGTGGGGAACAGCCCTGAGCCAACTGCATGCTGTTCAGCAGGGAATTGGGTTGTCAGCTCCAGGCACTACCCTAAGCTTTGCTTCATTTTGCTCACCAGATCCTCTTGCTCCTCTTCAGGCTGCCCAGCAGGAAGGAAGAGAGTCTCTAACCACCCTCCAGGGCCCCCTCCACAATATAAGGAAAGCCTAATATTAGGCCCCTGTAGGAGGAAGAATTCCTTAGCAGCAGCCTTAGCCCTAGCTTCTACCTTCTAGGCTGTCATGGCAAAAAGACAAGGGATAGTTGGCCATGCTGGAGAAAATGGCCATTCTGTTGTGAATGAATCAGCTGCCCAGAACCACTGAATACCTACCCCCATCTCCCCCCTACCGCCCACCCCCCACCGCCCCCAACCATGGCCCTTCCTTTGTAGGAGTTGTTGGGCGGAGCCAGCTTCCTTCTTCACTTAGATGTCAGCCTGAGGAGCCACAGATCCACTGACCCCTGCCCCAAAACAAGGCTTGGGTGTTGGGTTGTGTAGTAAGCCTTTTGGTGGCTTCAGTTCCTACCCTAAAAATAAATGGAGAAGGGATAACAGAAGGAGATCCTCCTAGAGCTCCTATGGGATATTTAATTATCAATATGGCAGTTACACTAGTTTAGAAATAAATGAACTATTAGATAGCACCCTAAGGTATTATCCCACCACACGGCCTCTTAAACACTGATTTCCTCTGTACTCTGTTGGAACATTGTGTAGACATTTGATTTGAGAACCAGGCTTCCCACTGACTTCCTTAGTAGGCTGGGATGTCAAATCTTTCTCTCACTTTTGGGGAGAATTTAGGGTGTCTTCTGGGTTCGTATGAGTGTGTAGATGTTAAGATGTAGGTGTTATGAGTGTGTAGATGTTAAAATAGCAACTGAACCATACAAAAAAAGAAAATCCTTAGTGGGATCTCGAAACCCTTTAGAAAGAAACAATCAGAGGGGCCTAACAGTATCAGGTGTGTTTCATAGCTGCTGGGGAAAAGCAGCAAAGGGACACACATTCATACTAGACTGAAGAATGTCCCCTCATCATTACTCCTAGACACCCACATCCTTAGGCTCCAGGTTAGGCCCCTTATAAAATATATGTGGGCCAGGAATCCCACGAATTCCCAGAAAAATGGAAATTTGGAGAATTGTTTTTAATCCCATCTGCTACTCCAGTAACTATGCGTATGGATACCAGCCTTGGGCACAGGGAATTTCCCTGAAGAACCAGAGACAACAGCTCCTCAAGGAGAAAGTCCAGGAATTCAGAAACTCCTGCTAATGAATCGCGTCAGTAACATCCTGAGGGGTAAAGATCCGCTGTGTCCATGGTGAAATGTGAGTGAGAGAGAACTGTGAGCACATACATATCCACCTGCTCCAAGCCTACCTGCCTATCCTCCAAACACAGGGTCCCTTCACTCTGCCCCAAAGCTGAACCCTTTTGTCTTAGGCCTCCCAAATACGAAGTCGTCCCATAGCATGAGTTTTGGAGTCCGAGGTTTGAGTCCTCAGTCGGCTGCAAAGAGCTGTGTGGTCATGGTCAAGACACTTAGCCCATCCAGGCCTCAGCATCACCGTGTGTAAAATGGGAGTAAGGAGGGCTCAGTTGTTCTAAGGAATAAATGCAACAGAGTTGGCAAAGTTTTGGCACAGTGCCTACGCGTTAGCTGTTTCTGGTGTGCCTGCTGTAGCCGGGCTCGCCGCTGGAGACGCAGGCACGGTGCTCCCTGCATACGGCCCACACCCTCATCCCCTCTACAAGCCCTGGCGGAGGCGCGGGTCCCACTGAAGATCCGGATAGTGATCATCCCTTCTGGCAGCAGAAGTCCCGCCCCCTTTCCTTCCCTGGGGCTTCTGTTGTCCAGGCCACCTTCGCGTTATCAAGGCTACTTGATCTTCACAGCCACCTCCCTCTGCACAGGCGTCCAAATAGGAAATTCCGCTCTCAAGGAACCTTCCATCCATCCACCTGCCACCAGCACGAACCTGCTGTCCTATTCTCTGGCCCCTCTCAGTCTCCTTTTTGCGCCCTCATTTCCCTGCCTAAAATAAAACGGATCGCTGCCCCTTTTTTCTGCATTAAGTTTGAAGAGCAGAATCTTCGCTAAACTGAGCAGAGCAGGGTGCGCTGCCCACAGGGCTGGGGCAGGCGCACGGGCCCTTATGCAAGGCCAGGCCTTCCCGGGGAAGAGCGAAGGCTCCGGGAAGGGGAGCCCGGGCGGCGCGGCCCGGCTTCGAGGACCGCCCCCGGGGCGGGGAGTGGTGTGAGCGGCGGCGCTGCCAGCAAACTTTCCTCCTCTGAATTCTTGACCGAGAGCCTTGGAACCACATTCTGCCCAAATCTGTACACGCCGGAGAAAGGGAACCGCCCGCCGCCCGGGGAGCGGAGTGGGGAAAGAGGGGGTGGAGAGAGGGGCGGGGAGGGGTGGGGGAGGGCGGAGGAGGTGGAAAGGAGGAGCGAGGGGAGTAGGGGAAGGTGGGGCGGGAAGGAGGGGGAAGTGGGAGACTGGGGATGTGGGAGGGGAGAGAAGGTGGAGGTGGGGGCGGAAGGAGGAGGTGGGAGAGTGGAAAGCGGGGCGGGCGGAGATTGGGGTAGAAAGTGGGGAGGGGCAGGTAAGACGAGCGCCAAGGGTGGACACGCGGCCCCGGGGAGCGGCGGGCGGGCGAGGCGAGTTCCTCAGTTTCTCCCAAGCCCGGGAGCTGCTGGACGGATAGGAGCGCCTTGCTACCTAGAAGGCGTCTTTGGGTTTCGCGAGCGCCGCAGAGCTTTTATGCAGCCGCTAAATAAATAATTGCCGACGCCCGCCACGCCCCGGCCCGCCCCTGCCCGCCCAGCCCAGCCCAGCCCAGCCCAGCCCAGCCCAGCCCAGCTTAGCCCAGCTTCCCGGCCGCGGCGGCGGTGGTGGCTGCGGCGGTGGCGGCGGCGCAGGCAGGGTCGGGCGCTCGGGGGAACTCGGCTCCGCGAGGCTTCCGAGAGTGGGGAAGCTGTTCTTCTCCTTTGATGCTCTTTGGTTTTACAGTGGAAAACTACAATTAAAAAAAAAAAAAAAAACATAGCCATGAAAATAAATGAGACTAGAACCTGCCGGCTTCACGTCCTGGAGGCTTTTTGTTGTGTCTTGAAACTAGGATCTTTGCGGGTCATCCCTGTAAGTGCCTTTTTAATCCATTCACGCGGATGCTTGTGCGTCTCTGCCGCGTTTAACATCGGTCAGCGGGTGACATTGCATTAATTTGCTCTGCTGATGATTTCTGCTTTGCTAGGTTAGCATTGCCTCGCTTGATGACACGCAATAAACGCACACACGTTGCAGAAATTAGGACACAGAGGGAGAGGCACCTTTTTGTGCCATGAAATAGGTAAGAAAATCTCTTCTAAAGCGATGCCAGTGTTGGGAGAGTGGTTTATTATTTAGACTGTGAAGGTATTAAAAACAACAACAAAACCTAATTAATTATTCCATTGCCATTCAACATAAAGTAACATGATAAAATCATTAAATGATAGCCATGATAAAACTCAATTCGTTGTTCTAGACTGTTTTAGAATGTTATCGTGTCATATATAGGAAATCACACATCATCTAGTTTTTGTGCATGTGTGTGAGAGACAGACAGATATGGATAACTTCTGCGATAAACAGCAGGTTTAAGGCTTCAGTACAGAGAAGTCCCATCTAGAAAATCTCCAATACGATTACTGTAAAGCAGATACAATACAGAGTGTTATTAAACTGGAGGTTCTTCCCCCTGAGAGTTTACTCTATTTTCCTTTAAAATAAACTGGGGCAGCCTGGTGTAGTGACTTAACGCCTGTAATCCTAGCACTTTGGGAGGCCGAGGCGGAAGGGATCATTTGAGTCCAGGAGTTCAAGACCAGCCTGGGCAACATGGCGACATTCCATCTCTAAAAAAATACAAGATTAGCCGGGCATGGTGGTGCACACCTGTAGTCCCAGCTACCAGGGAAGCTGAGGAAGGAGGATGGCATGATGAGACAGAGAACAAAGAAACAGGCCCTGGCTGATGCCCTGGCTGGTCCCGGCCAGCATGCTGATTGATCCTGCAGCTCCATTGGATGCGCTGCCTAGGAAGTGGAGGCTGCAGTGAGCTGAGATAGCACCACTGCACTCCCACCAGACCTTGTCTCAAAAGAATGAAATAAACTGAAAGGCCGGGGAATCGTACATTTAAAATTGCCCAGTGCCCATTGACGATCACTCAAAAACCAGAATGAGGCATCCTTATGGTGGGAAGGTAGGGTGATAGAAAGATGCAATTCCAATTTACAAAAATTGGGCCTTCAGGCCACATGTGATACACTTGTATAAAATCAAAAGATGATGCAATGCATATTTTCCTAAATTAAACCAAAAATAGTGGTAGGGATACACCTTCATGCCAACCGATGCACAGACAGGTTCTGATGGAAACCGTTTTCACTAAACCATATCCCGGTTACTTTATGTAGCTTAATGCCCTGGGATTTCTCTGTTCCCAACCAGAGGGTGCATGCTGGAGCTCCATGGGCCTGAACTTGTCTTCCAGACCTGTTTGTTTGGCCTGGGGGGTGTAGTTTAAACTTTTGAATTAGTTATGGATATTTCAAAATCATGATGTTCCAGATGGAAAGCTGGACTTTGGGCGTCTCTGAAACATGAAAAGGCGGGGACACCCTGGGTGGGACTATTGGCTGGAGCCAACAGCAGTGTTAGGTGTCGGGGTGACAGTCTGCACCTCTCCAGCTGTCTTCCCCCACCTCTGCCTTCACTCTGTTAAGGCACTTGTCCACTCTGCACATGTGAATTTTCTAGTACGGATTCAGACAAACCACTGTACCCAGTGCTTGGACTTACTAGGATTTTTAAAGTCATAGATTGACTCTGACACTCTAGGATCTAGAATTATGAAATGTTATAACCTCAGCTCTCGATTTCCAGAGATTCATTTAGGCAGATTCAACCAACAGAGGCTGACTGTACACTTCCTGAAGACAGGCACAGCATAATGTCCTGGTTTTCTGGATTCTGAATTTCCCTAAGGTGCCAGGAGATATAGGAGAGTCTCTGAAATTAAGCTCAGGAATTTGGATCCCAGTAGTTACTTGCCATGAAGTGTTAAGCAAGTCATCTACTATCCCTGAGCGCGTGTCCTCAAACACAGATAGTTGTAATCAAACTACCTCTGTGGATTATTACATATTAAATTACTATATGTGTCTGCTGAGAGTTTACAGCAAATTTAAAAATAAATAAATGACTATATGTGAAAGTACCTTGAACAGTACCTGGCCCACAGTGCCCACCCAAAACAGTTGTTTCTCTTGCTCT